GCGCTTAGCGAAATTTGATTGGCTAAATCTATGGTAGCCATCTTGGATGGTACACACACACAGTTCCGCGTATTTCGAACATCGAATACATTGCGGTTAGCGCTCTAGTATTCTTATTATACCTCTATAGTAGCAGCACACGCATGTGGATTTGCACTGCGCCTCTTTTGTTTTGCACTGCGCCACCTTCGTTTTGCACTGCGCCACTTTAGATTTGCACTGCGATTGTTGTTTGTCCTTTTTGCGATATCACGCCAAGAATAGCCCCTGGATAGCCGGGAATGTGAGTAAACATTGCTGTTGTACGCCACACGATCATAAAATAAATAGAATAGGCTAGAAAGAATCATATTCTTATATTTATTTAGGCCAGCATAAACACCAATACACCATGTCATTTTCAATACACATACGTACAGCTACTGTCTTTTTTCATTATATTTGGATTTTGGTTTAAAACGTTTTATGTTTTAAATAATAACATTAGATTCAGAAATGATGTATACTTTCTAAAATTTGACCATGATTGGAGCAGTACTGGCTGAACTGTGTCCGATTTTCTCCTACTACCAAGGTCTTGTTTACTATTTGTGAAGGCCGTTTAGGCAGCATGCAGGCAATTAGCAATCAATCATCCAACCCACCAGTGACCGTTTCTTCTAAGGGGAAGAATTTCGTCAAGTACCTGACCGTTTTCAAGAGAGGAAAACCTTGAATTATGATGAAATTAAAAAGTCATTTATAAATGACATTTCAGAAGTCAGGAAAGCTCATTTCCCGCCATCTAGAATCGAAACTTTCCCGGGGGAACCCGGACCCCCTTTTTCTTTGGTGTTCATTGATTCATTGAATCATTTTCAAGAGGGGGAAACCTTGAATTTTGAAGAAATTAAAAGTAATTAATAGACACCTCAGAAGTCGGGAAAACTAATTTTTCCACTTTCTAGGAATCAAAAATTTTCTCGGGGGAGAACCCCCGGACCCCCCTTTCTTGTTGGGATTTATCGTCGATTCATGGAAAAAAAATCGTATGCAACTACTCATATTTTTTTAATTATTTTTATGTATGTACACACACATAAGGCCTATTTATTTAAAAACAATAGGAAAAAATTACCTGACCGTTTTCAGGAAGGGAAAACCTTGAATTTTGAAGAACTTTAAATTAAAATCGCTAAAAGATACTTTAGAAATCGGGAAAGCTCATTTCCCATCATTTAGAAATCAACATTTTCCCTGGGAGAATCCGACCTCCCTTTTCTCTTTGGGTTCATTGATTCATTATAATAATTTTCAAGAGGGGAAAACCTTGACTTTTGAAGAACGTAAAAGTAATTAAAAGACAACTTAGAAGTCGGGATTTATCGACTCATGGGAAAAAAAATTCGTATGCAACTACTGTACTAAATTTATTTTATGTATGTATACACACATAGGCCTAAGGCATATCTACTGTAATAACAATGGGAAACATTTACCTGACCGTGTTCAAGAGGGGAAAACCTTGAAATTTAAAGAACTTAAATTGAAGTCGCTAAAATATACTTCAGAAGTCGGGAAAGCTTATTTCCCACCATTTAAAAATCAGCATTTTCCCAGGGAGAACCGGAACCTCTCTTTTCTCTTTGGGTTCATCGATTCATTATAATAATTTTCAAGAGGGGAAAACCTTGAATTTTGAAGAACTTAAAAGTAATTAAAAGACACCTCAAAAGTCGGGAAAACTAATTTCCGCCTTCTAGGAATCAAAATTTTCCCGGGGGAGAACCAACAGACCCCCCTTTCTTTTTGGGACTTATCGATTCATGGAAAAAAAATCGTATGCAACTACTCATTTTTTTAAAAATAATTGTTATGTATGTATACACACATAAGGCCTATTTACTGTAAAAACAATGGGAAAAATTACCTGACCGTTTTCAAGAGGGAAAAACCTTGAATTTTAAAGAACTTAAAAGTAATTAAGACACCTCAGAAGTCGGGAAAGCTCATTTCCCGCCATCTAGGAATCAACATTTTCCGGGGGAAGAACCCTCGGACCCCCCTTTTTTGGAGATTTATCGACTCATGGAAAAAATAATTCGTATGCAACTACTCAATTTATTTTATGTACGTATACACACATAGGCCTATCTACTGTAATAACAATGGGAACAATTTACCTGACCGTTTTCAAGAGGGGAAAAAATTGAATTTTGAAGAACTTCAATTGATGTCGCTAAAAGATACTTCAGAAGTCGGGAAAGCTTATTTCCCACCATTTAAAAATCAACATTTTCCCGGGGAGAACCTGAACCTCTCTTTTCTCTTTGGGTTCATTGATTCATTATAATAATTTTCAGAAGGGGAAAACCTTGAATTTTGAAGAACTTAAAAGTAATTAAAAGACAACTTAGAAGTCGGGAAGCTCATTTCCCGCCTTCTAGGAATCAAAATTTTCCCGGGGGAGAACCCCCCGACCCCCATTTTTTTGGATTTATCGACTCATGGAAAAAAAATCGTATGCAACTACTCAATACTACTATGTATATACATTAAAGGCATAGGCCTATCTACTGTAATAACAATGGGAAAAACGTACCTGACCTTTTTCAAGAGGGGAGAACATTGAATTTTATAGAACTTAAATAAAGTCGCTAAAAGATACTTCAGAAGTCGGGAAAGCTCATTTCCCACCATTTAAAAATCAACATTTTCCAAGGGAGAACCTGAACGCTCCCTTTTCTCTTTGTGTTTATTGATTGATTATAATAATTTTCAAGAAGGGAAAACCTTGAATTTTAAAGAACTTAAAAGTAATTAAAAGACACTTCAAAAGTCGGGAAAACTAATTTCAACCTTCTAGTAATCAAAATTTTCCCAGAAGAACCCCAGACCACCCTTTGTTTTGGGGATTTATCGATTCATGGTAAAAAAAATCGTATGTGACTACTCATTTTTTTTATGTATGTATACACTTATAAGGCCTATTTACTGTAAAAAGCAATTGGAAAAATTATCTGACCGTTTTCAAGAAGGGAAAACCTTGAATTTTGAAGAACTTAAAAGTAATTAAGACACTCAGAAATCGGAAAAGCTCATTTCCCGCCGCCATCTAGGAATCAAAATTTTCCCGGAACCCCCTTTTCTATGGAGCTGATCGATTCATTGAAAAAAAAATATGCGTAGGCCTACGCAACTACTAATTTTATTTTATGTATGTTTACACACATGTCAGGCCTATTTACTGTAATAAGAATGAGAAAGTTTAACTGACCGTTTTCAAGAGGGGGAAAACCTTGAATTTTGAAGAACCCCCTAGATTTGATTCCAGATCTGCATGATTCATATTCCCATTCATCTTAAAAGTGGGTTCCCCCCCCCCCACTTTGAAAAACGTTCCGCCGGCCCTGCATGTGCTGACCAGCAGATAGACTGTTCCTGGTTTCACTAATCTTGCTGACAGCCACCCATTCAACATTGTTGGATGTTTCAATGCTGGTTTTTGCCCCTGTTCATTCCAACAGAGGGCGTGAACTTTTGCCTCGGTCCATTCCTACAGAGGACGTGGACTATGAAGTCCAAACACGTCACCTGATATTTCGGGTACATGCTGGACACGCGGCTCGGCCCAGTCCAGCAAGTCTTTACCTAACGAGATACGATGAGCTGTTCGGTGGACCACGGAGAATCCATCTTCATTAAGTTGAGTCAGCACATTCAGAACTTGTCTGATTAAGAAAAAAAAAGAAAATGCTTAAAGACAAACTTTCTAGATATAAAATATACAACCTGAAATTTATCAACAGTCAATTTAAGGTTCTATTTAAAAATATAGAAATGGTATTAATTTGCAGAGAAAACATTTTCTCATTTTTGAAATGCAATATATTTTTTGGTAATTAAATATACAATGTATACAATTAAAATATTTAACTTTATTTATATTTAACTCAAAATGTTTAAGACTAATTGCAACTAATAAGCACTCTCTTTGAAAATAGTGCTCCGCAATGCATTATAGGATTCTCATCTGCTCATATCTTACCTGTGTAATGGTGGAACTCTGTCCTTGGTTACTAGGTGTCCTCGGGTAGATACAACATTCACTGTGTAATGGTGGAACTCTGTCCTTGGTTACTAGGTGTCCTCGGGTAGATACAACATTCATGCTGTCAGTACAATCGCAGCGGACATGAAGAGACCGATCATGGTGACGATTCTCAGCCACGACAAAGAAACCCGCCCAACCATGGTCTAAGTAATAGATCGTTACTCCTTCACGTCCCTAAAAGAACATTTATATTATTTATTTTGTATCTTTTTATGTTCAAAATAAATAATATTACATTATTTATTTTGTATCTTTTTATATTCACGCTCCGAGTGTGGTCAATTTATATATTTACAACTCTCGGGCTGAAAATGTCTTTTTACATTCGCAGCTCAAGAGTCGTAAAATATATGAATTCCAATATATCCTGTACAAAAGCATCATTCGGCCTCATTTAGAGTATGTTAGTTGTATT